CGGTGTGGAGCAGGACGGAGGAAATATTGTCATCCCTCAAACCTGCGTCCATCACGGTGACCAGCGGGGCATGAATGAAGCTCTCACCCCCCCCCCACACACCCCTCCACAGGCTTGCACGTACAGTACAGCCTATACACACCTTGAGTGGCTCATTACATGTGATAGGATACTTAGTCTGTAAACGGTGTGCACTTGAAACAAGGCACAGTCACAACATTTGTCTGCCGCTCGAAATTGGATTACAGGCGCGTATACTTACATGAGCTGTGTCGGAAACTGCGATGCCAGAGACCCGTCCTGCCAGAATAAGAGCAGAAACACCCAGGCTCGCACCCTGCAGGTATCCATTGTTTTAAAAAAAAAAAGAGAGAGAGGGGGAAATTCCCCGCCGCGCTCTCCGCCTCTCCGCCGGTGAATGGGAGCGGTGACTTTAGAGCAGCGTGAGTGGCGGTCTGTCCCCTCCTTCACAGATTAACCAGCCCTGACGCCTCTAATCTGATCAACTGGCCATCCAGAGCTCTAACAGGTACTGAAGCTGGAGATCTCTCTCTCTCTTTCTCCTCTCTCTCTGCCTCTCTCTCTCTTTCACACACAAACACACACCCTCCCTCTACTTTTTAATCGAACAAGGAAAACACATATGCTTTTTTTTAAATCTTGTAATATCAGCATTTCTATCGCCTCTGCAACATTTAAAGCAGTGACAGTGCTTAGTAAAAAATCTAAACATACATATTATACTATGTGAATATTTGAAATAATAGACCTATGTATTTAGATTTTTGTCCAAGGAGGATGCTCACGGTGTACACCACTCCCTATTAGCAGCTACAAATAGTTTTATTTACCTCCCAATAAAGAAACACCTGCTGAAAGGATGGTCTGACCAAACACACACACACACACACACACACACACACACACACACACACACACACACACACACACACACACACACACACACACACACTAAGGGTCGTGCAGTGAATACAAAAGCCGGTCAAGCTCTTTAAAATGCCCTACAACCTTTCAGTTCCTAGTACCTGGAGGGATGGTAGAATTTACCGGCTTTGATAGCATAATCTTGGCCAGCGCTCGCTATCAGTCATGCTGATGGCTCGAGTGGCAGCAGGGCGGGGGAAGCTGTCCCACATGGGAATCAGGGCTACTGTGACAGAACTATTGATTTCTCACATGTAGGGTAAAATCCGTAAAAAGCAAAGTACAGTAAAAGCCCAATGAATCTCTGTGCCATCAATCGTATTTGCTTCATAAGGGTTGAGTTTACAGCTGTGTGATGCATTCTAACATCAACCTAGAATATATGAAATATATATATAAGCTCTTGCACAATTACATCGACTGAAACCACTTTGTGTTATCACTTTAATTTACAGGAGCATCAACACTTTAAACATGAATGAATAACGGAGTGATAACATCAACTTGGATTGCGTGAGTGTTTGCACTGTATGTGTTAGTGTGTGTGTGTGTGTGTGTGTGTGTGTGTGTGTGTGTGTGTGTGTGTGTGTGTGTGTGTGTGTTTAGGCCTGGAGAGGAGGGCAGGGCAGCAAAAACCAGGATGCTTGGGGATTTGGTTATCAATCGTTGCCAGGCAACCACACACCATCTCTCGTGTCCTCTCACCCTCCCCTCCTCCCCTTTCTTTCCCCCCTTTCTATCTCTTTTTGTCTCTCCCATTCCCAACTCTCCCCCACTCGCTCTGCCGCACTGTTGCTCTCTCCACCCCCGCCCCTCAGTTTCTCCACTCCTCTCATCCCCCTCACACCTAGCCACATCCCCCCTCTCAACATTCTCAGTCTTTTCTACACCTTCCCTCGCACCCATCTCCCCCAGCCCGGGGAGCCGATGCACCTGCTGATGGGATGGGGGAAAAGGAATGTGAGAACTGAAGGGGTAGCAAGAAGTGAAGAAACATAATGGTATCATCGCAAAGAGCAGACGTCTCAGCAGACATCCTCTTTCAATACTTTTTTTTGTAATTAATTGGGAACATCTCACACTATGTCCTGGGTAGACAGAGGTGTCAGACTATTTGTCCGGACTGCTACACCTCTCTTCATGAAATAGACAGAATTACATAACCAGAATAGATGATAAAGGCATTTTTCAGACAGACCCAGACAAAAAAAAAACTTGTGTTACCTGGTGTGCACCAAAGTCCTGCATTTATTTTTTACTCCACACAAAGTGAGAATTCCCAGATGAACAAAACTATTGTTGAGCATATCAATTAGCACAAAATGAATATAAGATGTATATTTTTTGGGTATCAGCCTTTTGCAAATGCTGAGTTCAGCAGAGAGAATCACCTGTGGAACTAAATATCATCACCGTGATTCCAATGAAAAAAAGCAAATGAAGTTCAGTTTATTTGGTAGATCATACCACCATCTAGTGGCAGTGCATTTGAATCACAACAATCTTTTACTGAAGGTCGATGCTGTCATACACGTATGCAGTATGTACTTGAAAGGCCTTGTTTACTACATTTATTCGTTCTTATGCGTAAAAATCGTTTGAGTTTTGTTGGTATTTTATTATTATTATTAATTATTATTATTTTTATTTTTATTATTTTTATTATTTTTATTATTATTTACTATTATTATTATTATTTTATAATACAAATAATAATAAATAATTATAATTATTATTATTTATTATTATTATTAATATTATTATTATTATTATTATTATTAATATTATTATTATTATTATTAATATTATTATTTACCAAAATGTGATATTGTAGTGAGTGCTATCCTGAAAGTCCCTGCATATACAAGCTCACAAGTCAAGTCTCGGACAGTAGCTTGTCTCAGCTTGTTCAGCTCCAGTTTTGGTCGTCATAACAACCTTGAGCCAAACATGCTCAAATCTGTAGACACGACCGTGGCCTGCAGGAGAAGCCCCTCTGACACCTAAAAATTCATCAAAAATATTCAACAGCAGTGGGAGGGCTGTTGAAACCTTCAGGTATAACTCAGATCTGCAAGCTCCCAGGAACTTAAGTGGGCGACCAGCAGCGTATACAGTTTTATGTGCAAAGCTCAGGAAGTTCAACCTGCCTCAGGAGCGGCTTATTTTATTGTACACTGCAATTCATCCAGTCTGTTCTCTCAGAATTTGGTTTGAATTAGTCACCAAACAGCACAAAACAGACTACAACAGACAGTCAGATTCTAGAAATAATAATATCCAGAGCAAGCCCGCTTTCCAATCAGATGTATGTATCCATTTGAAACACTAGTGTGTCACTAGTGTGAAGACTTCGGATGAGTTCTGTGCCCTAACACACGTTCTGTGACCAGACATCAGAACTTAACAGGACTAACACATAAATCAGTCATATATTGTATTAAAACATATACTAACATTAAGTTGCATTTGTATCCATCTATTTCCACTGACATCTATGTATAAAGCATCATTATTTTTCTTTTTGACGTCTCTTTTAAGACTTCAATCTTGCATCATGTCCAAGTCTGTCACCAGACTAAGGCAACTCTGTTGGTAACTTTTCATTTCACGGTTAATCCTTGTAGTTGTTGTCACTTAATTTTCAACTAGTGCTAACTTGTCAGTGGTTATGTGCGGAGACAGAGGACAGGGTCTTCAGGGAGCACAGGAATAAAACAATAAATGCATTTTTGGCGACATCTAGTGGTAATATTAGGAATTTCAACTGTTGAAGATCAATTCAATGCATGTTTGTAGAGCCTTTAATGATTGAAAATGCAATTTGGTTCCATCCTTCCATCCAACCATCCATTATCTATACCGCTATATGCGCGTTTCCCGTTGTGGGGTCACAGGGGGCTGGAGAACCATCCCAGCTGTCATTGGGCACAGATGAGGTACACCCTGGACTGTTCGCAAGTCAACCACAAGGGGAAAATACATCGACAGATCACCAGCCACACTGGCAATGTGGAGCGACCAATTAACCTATAAGGTGAATGTCTTTGGACTCTTGGAGGAAGCCCAAGTAACCAAGATTCGAGCTGTCGCTGTGATGCAACAGAGATAACCACTGCACCATGGTGGAGCCCACAATTTAGTTCTAATTTTCAAATGAAAAAGAAAAAATGAACGTACAAAGTCTTCTGATTTGAAGACAAAAACAAAAATCCAGACTGCAGGTGTAATATAGCTCTTCTTAATATTTATTCTTTAGACATGGGGGGGGAACAGCTGATTCTTTTACAGCACAATTTGCATATTATCTCAACACATCCTGTGTACAACCACAAAACCATGACATTAGATTCTTTGTTTTTACACTGAGTGAAAAACAAGACAAATTGTACAAGCATATTCTCTTTACAGTCAGCATACAGATAAATCTATACATATTCTGTCTCTTTTTAAAACATAATGTGTCGGCAAAATATACAGACAAACCATCAACAGAACATGCAACATCCAAAACATAAAGTCTCAGACATATATTGAAGTTGGATAGTTTTTTTTTTTTTCCCCCCCCTTTGTGTTGATTCGGCTGTTTTTTTTTACAGGAACGTGGTTGCACAGATAGTCATTGGTTGACAGCACATGATAACACAGTCAAATCCCCTTATACAACTATAGACACGCATTGCTGTACAATTTTTAAGTCTAATGTGATTTTTTTTTTTCAACACTCACATGCTCAAACTTCAGACAATATAAACATTCAATCTTTGTAGAAAATAAACACTTTATGTACACGTCAAAGGACTTGAGTCACATTCACACCCCCTCTGAACGACAACACATAGATGGTTTCACAATAACAGGCAACAGCTGACCTAAACAAAGTATGGAGCTGGAGGGATGTCTGATAAAACACGAGGGGTTAAACAGTCATGACTGAGCATCGAGGGATTGTGATTCTTTACTGTACTTTGTACACCGACTGTTCAACTATGAGCATGATGTTTTTTTTAAGATTTACTTCTGCCTACATTGTGCATTGTGTTTGGGAAACCCCCAACATGTCTGCATGTGTTTTCTTTTTAGCAACATTGATACAAAATGCACACCAAAGATTTTTTCTGCCACCATGTACATCGTCATTCGCTTCATTCCAAGTGCAGAGACAAAAAAAACACATAAACTTGCATGTTGTCGACAGTTAAAATGAGACAAGAAAATAAACAATGTCATAATAAAGTGCACAAGCGTAATGTTAATGTTAACAGACGTTAACATCAATTTATATTAGAATCAGTAAAAAACTCAATATATTTAATCTTTTCTTTCAAGGATGTACAAATTAAAGTTCTTTTTTTTCTATACGACATATTTAAACATAGACATAACATTTAGTTCAAAAAACAAATGCATTCAAACACATTTATGTTGCATAGAATTAAGAACCAATAGGTCTATAATAATAATAATTTAAAAAAAAATTGGCACAGCAAAGTAACTACTGAAAAACCTGCCACATATCCCCTCCGTATTATTTTCTCTTTTCTCTTCTTATTTTGTTGAAATTGAAGTGACATCATGTTCTAAGTGTGTTTGACGTTTTAAATATTTCATTCTTTAAAAAAAAAAAAATTGCATTATCCCTTTGATATGCCTTAACACACTGACAGTTAGCTCTGAGGGTCACTCGATAAGTTATATTCATCACTTTTATGTTGCTCTGGTGGCAAAACATTACAAGACACATACAGGGGTCTTCTGCTGCTCATGCGTACTGAGACACTTGGCCCTATGTGTTCCTCAGTCCCCCGGATAGGACTGAACCCTGGCAGGCCTGAGTGAGCGTTCACAGGCAGTGAGAGAGGCTGGTTCACTGTGTTGAAACAGGAGTCACTGACACAAAACACCACAGTGAGTTTTACAGCACAGTCAGACAAACAGTGGGAACCTTGACATTTTAACTTGTTTTTTTTTTTGTTTGTTTTGTTTTCATCATATTGAAATACATTTTTGGTCAAACTCAGACCAAGGGGGGGCTTCACTAACACAGAGTAAGCAGAGCTGCCATACTGTGAAGTAATGACAGGTGCAGATCTACACATGGTTTTTGACACAACTTGTGAGAAGTCCATTCTGACATTAGAATCACCGTATGGGCTACAGAAAACAAAGTCTACTCTGAGCAACTTACAACAGCCTTGAAAGTGAAATGTACACATGACACAGGTGTGATTAAACTCTTGTCGTCCTCTAGAGTTGGCTTGTAACATTCAATGCATCATGTTTTTATTCAGACTTCAACTTTCATTTAATAGTTATTCTGACCTGCACTTCACAACATGATGCCAATGAGGTCACCGGATCTCGCCCTTTTAACCGAAAAATTATCTGTTTAGTGGTACATCAGCGTGATCAGAGGACCGAGGAGCTGTTTTTTCATGAGCATCCGTTAGCTCACATAGGTCCACATTCACAAAACAGCTATTATGACTGCCTACACCCTCAAGTAGCCTACTGGATTGTCAGTGCGCCACCCACAGCCTCAGTCTAATAGAGATCATGTGTTTATATTTGAATATATATCTATATATATATAGTCTAGTGACAGATGAATAACTCTTATACAGTGTACTGTATTTAGATATATACTGAATCTGATATCTTTGTGTATTATATAAACCTCACACTGTACAATGTGATTCTCTGATATGCTCTGAAACCTGCATGTGAGATATGTACAATCTGAAGTGCTGTACAGTTCTCATCCGTAACTCTGACTTATACAAATACATAATGCCTTTTTTTCTTCTTCTCTTTACACAAAACTTTAAGACTATTATACAGAAACACTTTGCATTCCTTCATCATAAAATATGTCAAGAGCACTGATGTCCACACACGTCACAACCATCATTCAAGCATTACAACGACAACTCTCGTGTGAGAAGAAAAACACAAAATGCCAACAAACAAAAGTTTTTGATTTCTGATCAAGTGAAATTCATCTTTTTTCTATCTTTTATCTCAAATAGATATGTTAGCTCAGTTGCACAGCACCAAAACAAAGTCTCATATGCATCAGGGCATTAACAACTAAGGATAGAAAGGCAACAATGCTCTCAAAAGCAATCCACAGCCGCTATAGACTCTTGACATGTGAGGATGTGGGTGTGTGCTGGCAGTGTTGGACTGATACAGTTGTTATGGTGTTTAGCACGTCATTCCCTCCTCCTTAGAACGCATACCAGGAAAGTAAAGAACAGATAGAGGACTTCAACTAGATCCATTTCATTCCTCTTGTTGCTTTTTCTCTTTTTTTTTTCATTCATCTTTTTGTCAAATCAGATGTCTAGTACATTCTAGATCATTGCGACTTCACCTTCCGTGGCTCGAGCACATCTGCTTTTTTTTTTCTGGTGGTGCTCAGGGGTTGGTCTGAGTGGAGCTGACAAACAGCTTGTGCCAGCTGACCACTCTCTTCCTCATGTCCACGTTGTCGAGCCAGATGTAGGCTTCCCCTATCAGGGTCTTCTTCACGAACTTTCCCCCGTTTGACACCAAGAAAAGCTGGAAACACATTGAAGAGAGAAACGTATTAAAGGTGCCCTGTGGAGTTTTTGGTAGAGGCATGTGAAAGTTGGAGAAATGTACAGATTATGTGGTATATGTTCATAACTCTAAACACAAACTGTCCTCAGAGGAGAATTTGGTCTCTGGAAAACTGTTTGAAGATAAAATGCTACGCGAGAAGTTATGGTGGGGGGCCTGCAAGAGTGAAACCGTTACTCTCCTGGTAGCAAAGTTTGTGTATTTAGTTCAGAAAATATATCATAGAATTGTTTCACTTCTCCAACTTAAAAATTTCACTACCAAATCTACATAGTGCGGCCCCCGGTGGCCAGTGGCGGCAGCAGCCAAGACACAAGACCGGCCTGTCAGCAGCAGCCGTCTCGCCGCTATATTTGTATTTTTTCACCATTATCAGCTTTCTCCATAGAGCCTGTTAGCACAGCTTCAAAGCAATATGGTGGATGTTAAGTTTCGATTATGGGAGTGAGTTCCCACCCACTGATCTGTGATTGGTCTGTAGCTCCAGTGGTCAAAAATATGAGGAACTAGTGTTGTAGTTTCACCCTGCTAACCGCAACAGCTTCCAGTGACGCAAAATGACGATTTTTGCATCATCAGAAGCTCCTTTTCAGACATAGAAATAAAAGATTTCCCATCTCAGGGGACAATGAGGACGGGATGCACGACCATTCAAAAATACTACCAGGTTTCTAATGATACAAAGCTTAATGCGAATGGGTGAAGTATCCCTTTAATCTGTTGTCCTGTTGTTGTAACTGTTTAGATTTGTTATAGGATTATCAAGCAATGTGCAAAAAAAGTATTGAATGTTAAAAATGTTGTAGCACTTTTGTGAGACTTATCGTGTTTAACAGACAGACAGATCCATATCTGACGGCAACGTTTAGGTGCCTGCCATACCTGAATGGAGTGTCCAGTTGGGTTGAGGGGGAACCTGAAGGTCTCGTTGAAAGAAGGCTCTCTGTCATGTCGACAAACTCTGGTCTTCTTCTTGATGATCCTCTTTTGAGTGGCGACATTCACCACATACAACTTTACGTACAGGTCTGAGGGCAAAACAAAAAAGAAGGAACATGGGTTAGAAAACCTGCAAAATATTGTTGTTAATACACACTAAAGTGATATTTAATTAACTTTAGTTAATGATCAATGAACTAACTGATTTACCATCAGTGAAATGATCATGAATAATGTTATTGTTGTAATATATTGTAATAGACAATACTGATCACATTAGTAAGCTTTTATTAACAGTTTATTGTGGCACACCTTACAACACTTATTATACTGTATTGAGTATTTGTTAATGATAACAAAATGATTTAAAAGCTCAAAGAAATTAAAGTAAAAAAACATTAAAGCATGTACAATTATTTACATAGCTAGATAATACTTTGTTAATGGTTAATGATTAGTTTGTAAACCATTTATAAACATTATTTGGGAGGTTATTATCAAGTTACAACAGCTGTTTATAATTTTTTGTAAATGATTAATACAGACAGTTCAGAGCATATATTACTGTGTTTTGATTTCTATTATGAAGTTAAAACTGAGGTTTTATAATACTTTTTTTAATACATTATAACTGTTAAATACATTTTAGTGGCCAATAATGGCATTTTTTTCTTTAAGCTTTCAAATCATTTGGTTATCATTAACAATATGATATTAATACATTTTAATAAGAGTTATAAGGTGTCAACAATCACACTGTTTCTATGTAGTATACTAATGTAATCAGATTGTGATTGTTATTGTCTGTAATCGACTAAGTTACAAAATATGATTATTTGATTTGACACAAACTAATGACAAAATAACAGAAATTATAGCATTGCTAATGTTTATTTGGCATTATTAATTACCATTTAATTGATTCAACAGTTAAATACCTAGGAACTAAAATGAATTAACTATCAATTTACTCTTTCTTAATAATGGATATTATAAAGAGTTACCAAACAAAATTTAAAAAAGACGTGAAAGGGCTAGTAGCACATCTTGTCTTTCTCACTGAGAACTTCTGAATCAGACCTTGTACCTCGCCCAGGTACTGCTCTCACTGGGAAGTCTGCTCAAAGAGCAGTGAGCATCTAGTTGACGAGCATTAGCAGTGACATTGATGTAGCCATACAGCATCTTGTTGAAGCCTTAGTCTGACTCAGATGAGACTGTAGTTGTAACGTGCAGAAGTCTGAAAGCACTAAGTTGAGATAGCATGTTCAATTTTGTTTGTTAGCATTAGCTTGTTGGCTCAAAATTGGTTGTGATCGACAGTGTTAGTGATGGTAATACAGCCTAAAATAATAAAGCTGATTCTCCTGTTTGGTAGTAGTGTTGTAGTCAAGACCACACTAACAGAGACCAGGACATACCCAAGACCAGAATGCTCAGAGACTGAGACAAGACCAAGACACTTAGGGATAGAGACAGAGTCAATACAAAGACCACAAATATCAATGAAAAATCTTCAACTTGAGTGCAGTAGCCATGTCACTCACTTAGAGCGTAAATGGTCTGAGGACCGTTCTTGAGACCAAGACCAAGACCGACTTCATGTACCACAACACTATTTGGTTGTAGTTTTGGCAGATACACAATGAAACTACAGGATCTAGCATATGTCCACAACTGCACACTCAATAATTTTTTTCATAAAAACTTCACTGTGCTAATGTGAAGTATGTTCTCATTGGCTCAATGCGAAGTGGTTTAAGTTTATATGCTTTATTATTGCTTACTAAACAGTTGGCCTTGGCATACTTTCCTCCCATTTAGTTACAAAGTAACTAAACCACAAGACGACCTTTTTTCACAGCTGTAAACCTCTGTATATGAGTGTTAACAAATGTTGTTGATCAATTCAGGTCCAAATCTGAGCACAAAGGATTGAAATTCAACATATTGCGTTAGAAATTTGCAGTGACTGCCCTCTACAGGTTGAAACCCAGCTACTGCAACTACATTTTATATTGGCTGATCTGGTGCATGCTGACATATGTGGTACAGTCTTTCATTCAAATAATTCTCACAAACCTTACATAAATACAGTATATAGTATAGACATTTTAAGGGCAATAGACTTTTAAAAAAACAAATTTTTTGGGTGAAGATGATCTTTACACTTAATAAAACACACGTTATGGTAAAGTCTCACTCATGTATCTGCCCACATACACAGTACTTCCGTACCTGGTAGATGGTCTGGACTCTTGAACTTGTAAGTGATGTTCCTGCATTGAAGGACCTCCAAAACCAATTGGTCTCCTTCTGTCTTCACCTCCTTCTTGAGAGCGACCTTGATCTCCCCCATTACTTGTGTTTTACCACCTAAAAAAAACAAAAAAACATGAAAGAGTATGTGTGATCAGTTTTTTAAAATAAGTTGATGATTTCTGTTTAATTTCTTTATTTTGCTAGCCTTTAGTGAACCCTCCATTAAAACCTACAGGCAGATATAGTTGCAGAGAAAAGGCATGCTCTCCTTGTGTCAATCAAGATAATATGAATAATTTAGCAGACCTAAATTGGGCAGGGATGAAACCAGGTCAGGACATTTTCATGTCTCTGTCAATTTCAATTCGCAGGGCTTTATTAGCATGGGAAACACATGTTTAAATAGCTACAGCTCAATAGAAATAAAACAGAAAATTGAAGCATAACAAAATGATTAAACAATAAAGTAACAGAGATGTGCAGGATTGCAGTACAATAAAGTGTATAAACATGAAATCAATTTGTGTTTAACTCATAAATACAAGTTGAAATCTAATTCAAAATACAGATTACTACTAAAATGTAAAGAGATTGTTTTTTAAAGAAGTATATTTACAGCTCTATGGTCTGTATGTATGTACAGTTGTGTACAGAGATAAGTAGTGCAGATGTTGCAGTGATACACAGATAGGTATACTATATTGTTGACGGTGGTTATGAGCTGTTGATGTTCCTCACCCTGCAGGTACACACGTTTTTTTGGTTGTGGTCCATTAAGTTAAATCCACAAGTTGTGTTTGTGATGAGTGGGAAATAGGTGTCTCTGATGTCCTACAGTGGACAGGTAGTTCAAAAGTGTAGCTTTGTTTCTAGCTCTTGTTGGGTGCAGAGTCTGTCCTCTTTGGGAAGCCAAAGTCTAACTGTGGCGTCCTCTCTCATGAGGCTGTGCTCACTGAGTCTGAACACCGTCCTCAGTTTTGGGTCATTCAAAGTGCTCAAGAATTCCACCACTGTGTGTACTCTCTATTTAGGGCCAGATAACGTTCTGAATTTCCTCTGTGTTTTGGGTTTCTTTCCATTGTGTTAAGTACATTTTTTTTTTGTTATGTTTAATAATTTGGTTTATCTGATTGGGTTTCCGTCTGAGGCGCTCTGCTAGTGAATGGAGTCCCAGAAACAGCTGTCTGAGGGGGCAGCTCTCTGTATAGTCTCTCTGGAGGTGAGTGCTTTGTTATGGAGTGTGTCAAATTTAAGAACTCTCTTTTGAAACTAAAGGACATCATCCCTTTTCTGGTCTACATGCATTATTTGGTGTTTTCAATAGATAGATAGATAGATAGATAGATAGATAGATAGATAGATAGATAGATAGATAGACCTCCTGACCCCCATTTGTGAAACACCTAGCAGCCTACAGCCTGAGGTGACCTTGGGCCTTTTGTTACAAACTGAAACTAGAGATGGATGACACCTCAGCAACATGAAACGTAGATATAGTTATGACACAGGTAGGATAGTGTGACAACCACTTCTCTCCCAAGTTCCGACATCCTGAGTGAATTCTTTAGGCTTGGGTATTATTGGTTATAGTTGACACTATTTCCTGAAGAAAACATTTTATTGCACAGTTGTACAGAGTCAGTACCATAACACAGTTTATAGGTGATTTAATGAATGGCTGGGTTAATAAAAGTGTTGGAGATCCGGATAGCCTAGTGTAATGTTACGTTCCTCATGTATGGAGGCTATAGTCCTCATTGCAGCGGCCGTGGGTTCGAATTGGAACACGGCTCTTTGCTGCATGTCACCCCTTACTCTCTACTGCCATCATTTCACGTCTCTCTTCAGCTGTCCTATATATTAAAGGCAAAAATGCTCCAAAAGAACTACAAAAAAAACAAGCAAGCAAACAAGTGCTGTTACAATAAGTAGCCAGCAGATGGCGACCTCTACCACGTTAAAATAAAACATGAGACTGTTTTTATTCTTAAGACGTCTTTACATTGAACAGAGGATGTTTCTGGAACTTGCCTTCATTTTCCGTGGGCCCTAGTTGGTTTTTATCTGTGCCGTTAGGAATATTCTTCCCACTGTGAGAGAAAAAAAAACACATCAGGGATAAATTACAAAGAAATACTAGACAGCCAAAAGCACTACTGTTTGCATAGCATGCTGATTAAAAAATGAGCCCCATATGATCTTACATGCGTGGCACTTGGAAAATGGCACTGTCCACTCCGGTGCCCTCCCCGTCGTCCCCCTCCAGGCCTCCATAGGCGTCTCCCACAAGACTCGGGGCTGACAGCACCACCGACCCTGAGACATCGGCCAATCTGTGTCCTGGTCCTGAGGGTAGCAAGAGTGAGGTAATGGTGAAGAAATACTTTCCTGTCTATCTTTCACTTTAACTTTTCTGTCGTTCTTTCTATCGACAAACTCAAAGGTCTGACTCGTGTTTTCACCACGCATGCATGCACGTCGACAGAAAACCCTTCACACCCCCAGCTATCAGTCACTGACAGTGATGCTGTCTTGTCACACATAACTTTGACTGAGCATCACATAACAGCATATCAGGGGAGGAACCAATCAATGGATTTGACAGCTTGTCCTTCAAGCAGTGCAGTGTATAACCGTTTTAACGGACAAACACCACACTTATATTCCATCATTGCAAAAAAATGAAGGTCACTTGGATTCATTTACCCATTCATTTAAAGGCTTAAGATGCGATTTTTCACACTTAAATGTAATATAAATCAAGTATATCCTCTGAAAATAACTCTGTGAGTCATGACTGTCTACAATGGGTGTAACACCCGAGTCCCACTGTCTGTGATGTTTTTCGAGTTTTCCAAGTCCTTATCTTCACTTTGTTTACATCGCCAGGACGGCCGGCTGACTCCTCCCCTTGCGAATAAAAGTTGTTTAATTGAGGGACTAGAGAAAAGAAGAATAACATACTGTACTCACTGCTTAACTGTGTTTCTAGATCACGCTCATTTCAGGTAAATTTACATGCAGTGTGAAGATACAAGCAGAATAAAGATCGCTAGCATTAGCATGCTAACACAACAATGCAGTGCGAGTTGTTTTGGTTTCATGCTGGTGCTCAAGGGCGACATCTGCTGGATCAAAAAATCGCATATTAAGCCTTTAAAGTGAGACAACAGTGTATATTTCCTCAGACTTAATTATTTATTTGGGGTCCCCTTGCTGCTGTTGAGTCATGCTCCAGCCTATATTATGGAAAAGAATGATTAGTTCAGGGAATATGTAAGGTGTTTCTGTCTAGACAGAAGGGTGGGTACGTTCTGCTCCTTCACAGTGCCCACTCCCTCACAGTAAAACAGAGACCGATAGAATAGTTAAATGATGTGTGAAAAACAACATCACTTGATGAAATAGCTTGGAAATCTGTTTCTATAGCCATGAAAACATATTTATTAGAGCTGTACCAATTGGGAAACTCAGGGCCGATACTGCTGTTGGAAATAATACTTTAGCCGATTGCTGATTCTGATGTTTGTTTCATGACTTCTTCTGGTGTCAGACCACCACAATGCCAACATTTTCTCTCATGTTTGATAATGAAAACAAGTCAAGTCTGTTCATCAGGGGACTTCATCTGCCTGATAAAAAACCTCTTCTCTGAACCAGTTTTAAGATGAACTAGACATCAGCATTAAATGGATTTGGCACAACAAATAAACATCAGCTATTGACATTGGCTACATAATTTGCCTTTATGTTACCGTTACCGATGTTAAACCAATGCATCGGTGCATCCCTAATATTATGTCAATAGCAGGCAACATAAAAACATGCACACTCTCAGACAGAAACAATCCTAAATGCATACAAATCTTTACATGATATTTAAGTTATTTACCTCAATAGTTTAACATTTGGTTTAATGGCAGACTTTATTTTATTTTTTTGTTGATATTTTTTATTGCATAATTGTTTATGAATAAGTATTACAAGTATTTATTTTTCCTATGTTGCCTCACCTTCCCTCGAAAACTTGTTCCCCTCATGGTCAGCTGACCGCTTTACTCTCATTGGCCGGGGGAATGTAGAGTGCGCCTCCTGTTGACTTTGACACCTCTCAGGTGCGTCTGTGTTTTTGATTTAGGCCGAGGGGGTTTAGGAGAGGATTGGAAGGGGGAGGGGGGAGGGGCCTGTGTGCCGGACCTGTGTGAGTCTCTGTGTGTTTCTTGTAACTTATGTTAGGGTTCATTCATATGGCACAGACATGCACACACACAGAGGCTGCAGCATCACAAAGCCCTCAGTGGCCAAGGGAACAGTAGCCAGGGAAGCGGCAACTGCATGCTTAAATAGCTCTGACTCAGGACAGACTTAGCTTAGAAGGGATGACAATTATTATTATTTTTCATTATGAGGACATCACACTACACTATACATAAACAGAAATCGATATTGTTCATATCATGTTAATTTGGTTGAAGACGTTGAAGGATTGCCATCCCAG